TATGGTTTTCCCTCGGATGGTCGTGGCCCCGCCCCCAGCGTGCCCGGCATGGTCGCGTCACTTCTGGGCAACGGGGTTGCGGCGCGCGCGCACACTCCCAGAGTGGCGCTGGAGTCCCCCGCTCCAGCGCCAATCCGACTTGGCAACCCTATATCTGCAGGAAGGCCCAAATCATGGACACCTGCGAGCCAGACTAGGCCTTCTAATAATCACATTAACCCTTGAGGAAAATTAAGGTGCTTTGCCTCACAGCACCCAACTTTTTTTTCTAGGGTTTTCTGTTCCAAAGGTGTCTCCAGTATGTCCAAACCGTTCTATAAACTCCTCTGGATAGAAATACCAATTTTGAGGATTAGGCACGAGGACAAGCTCTGAAAGATGAACGGCCACTGTTTTGTCTTCTGCATTTCCCTTTTGACTGTTGTTTCATTTAATTTAGAAGCTGTTCTTTGAACTCCCACTGTTTAAACAACAGTTTGGGATGGAGGGAGGGTGTGCAGGGGTATATATGTATATACGTGCGTGTGTTTTATTTTTATTTTTGACTTTACAGAATTGATATCCTGCCTTCCTGCCCTCACAAGAGCCACCAAGGCGGCTAACAAATTAAAAACATACATAGTAGAGTCGCATTTTAAAACTGACCCAAAACAACAGCAGCAACACATCCTTAAAACCAAAGCTACTAAAGACAATACGGGGCGTAAAAACCTTTAAAAACATTTGAAACAAAACGTTAGGCAGGAAGGGAGGGATCAATGAGAGAACGCCAAACGTCAAAAATTTAACTTTTTGTAGATTTAAATTTGATCCTGACTTTAGGGATTCAGTAGTAACATCTACATATTCCCATCCTATATATATATATATATAAAAAAGGATGGGAATATGTAGATGATATATATATATTTGCAAATACCTACACGTACATGAGGTATTTGTGGTTTAGTAGAAGTGCTGCTCAAAAATGATGGTCACAGTCACAGAACAGACCGCAAAAAGAAGAAACTGTGAGGTAACTGCACTTTCTTCCGAAAGTAGATGAAAGCTTATACAAACACTTTGCCCTAGGAACATTCTTTCAGAGAATTTCTTGCAACTAAGTTATGAGACATCGGTGAATATTAATGAAATTTTTGATACCTACTTGTTGAAATGACAGACCAAAAGTCGCTGCTTTCATCTACTTTCGGAAGAAGAATGGTATCGAAATGATAGAACATTCCGGAGACCATCGTCACACCAACACCATTTTCAACTGCCCTTGTGCGTTTATATGATTCTTTGTACACATTTTTGTATAAATTTTGTGATTGTTATTGAAATATTTTCTAGCGCAGTTACCTCACAGTTTCTTCTTTTTGCGGTTAGTAGAAGTGCTGCCAGCCTCCAGGAGGGGGCTGGCAATCTTCCAGAATGACAGTTGTTCTCCAGAGTACCTAGATTGCTTATTTAAGACATTTATTCCACTTGTCCTGGAGCAAATGGCTGCTTTGGAAGGTGGACTGCCTGGCTTTATACACTTCTGAGGTCCCCACCCTCCCAGGCTCCACCCTCAAGTCTCCAGGTTTCTCCCAACTCTCTACTCAGTAGGTATGTATTTGAAAAAGACTGAAGGAACAGGGACAGAGGCCTAACTGGAGATCTAGTTAGCAGTTTCTTGTGGCTGGTAGCCTTCCTAATAGATGGGTTGTTACAATTAGGGTTGCCAGGTCCATTGGAAACGCTGGTGGGGGGACGGGGAATGTTCCGGGAGCGGGAAGTGACGTCGCATGACATGCCTACATCACCCGGAAGTGATGTAGGCACGTCGGGGGTGACGCTCTGGATTTGGCCAAAACTCTATGGTAAAATCAGCCTGAAACCATAGAGTTTTGCCCCAAAACCAGAACATCGCCCCCGACGAGCCTACATCACTTTCGGCTGACATAAGCAGATTGCGTTTATTTCTAGCTATGTCACTGGAGGGGGATTCCTCCAAACGGCCAGGAGCCCGCAAAACCGGGGGATCCCCCGCCCCCCAACTGGGGAATGGCAACTCCTTAGTCACAACGGAGACTGTGCATTCCCAAACAAAATCCCTTTTAGTTTCCTGGCTTTTTATGTTTTGCTGAATAAAGAAAACTGTTTGTGGCCGTGGTCAAAATAATTAATTTTTAAAATTTGGTTTGTAGATCAGAAGCTGTTTACGCCGCTGTAAATAAGAAGCCTGCGGCACCATCTTACACCCTGGGAGAGGGTAAGACTTGCATTCGAACAATCGCTGTCTTCTAAATGATGAGAGAGTTGTCCTGTTTTGCACTGACTGCTCTCACAAATTGATAGTTGGACACCTGGGATACCCAAGACTGGCTTGTCTTTCTCTGTGTGGTGTTATTAGAAAAGCCTGCAAGGATCAAAACGAAGTAGGTAGCCAGCAGCAGATCTGTCCTGTGCGTGTGTCAAGTGCCGTCAGTTCGCGTCCGGCTTAATGGCAACCCTTTGAATTAAAGACCTCCAAAATGCCCTCTCATTAACAGCCTTGCTCAGGCCTTGCAAACTGAGAGGCTGCCGTGGCTTCCTTGATTGAATTGATCCATCTCACGTTGGGACTTCCTCTTTTCCTGCTGCCTTTAGCTTCTCCTGGCATTTCTGTCTTTTCATAATGTGACCCAAGTACAATAGCCTCAGTTTAGTTTTGCATGTTTGTACAAACATATGGAGCAGAGGTCCATCAGTGGCTATTAGCCACAAGGTATAGATAGGAACTCTCGGTCTGGGGCAAGTGATGCTCTGTAGTCTTGGTGCTTGGGGTGGGGGGCAACAGTGGGAGGGCTTCTAGTGTCATGGCCCCACTGCTGGACCTCCTGATGGCACCTGGTATTTTTGGCCACTGTGTGACAGAGTGTTGGACTGGATGGGCCATTGGCCTGATCCAACACTGGCGTCTCTTACGTTCTTATCTGTTTATATTTTATTGGAGGTTGAATCCATTTGTCAAAGGGTTTAACGGTAACTTGCTTGTGCTTCCGGGGTTCATGTTTGTACTTATCCCAGTGGCTCTTAAATTGTGTTCCGGCCTCCAAGGGGGTTACAACTGTCTCAGAGGTGCGTCGCAAGACCAGAAGGGTGGAGGGAGAAAAGGCTGAGGCGAGAAAGCAGGCTCCGTGTCCACTTCGGGCTTGCCGCTTCGCAAGGTGTGAAGGGGCCGCGAACGACAGCCTCTTGCTCAGTAATGCTATGTATTTAGAAGTCCTGAACGTGAGAAATTAAATATAGACTCATTCAGCGTTAACCGATGCGCCAGTCCTGCAGTTTGTGCTGGTAAGAGGCAGAGTAGTGTGGAATTACTTTTCAGGAGAGTCCCCAAAAGTGCAGTAAGCTCGGGAGTAGGGTCCCACTTTTAAAAGTTTGCAAACTGCTGGTTGTCCATCTGTTCTAAACTTCCTCAAGGTGAGTGGGGAACAGTGATCTGTAAGCGCTGGTATTATTAGATCTGAAGGACAGACTCCGTGAAGGTATAAATTAGTGGATGTGTAGTACAAAGGGACCTTATGTGTAGTGTGACGTCCCCCGTCCCCCCTTGGGGTTGTCCCATCTTCTGCCACCTTCCCACCAGCGACTCCAAGGCTCCCATAGCCGCAGACTTGGGAAGGGGAGGGTTAAGTCGCCTCTTCTCCCTCTCCTTCCCCCAGGTTGGCTCTTCCTGCACGCTCGTTCTCTCTCTCTCTCCCCCTCCCCCTCCCCCTCCTGGTTCAGTCCTGTCCCCGAATTTACATTCTGTACTACACTCGAGCTCACCCCTGTAATGGTCTCAGGCAGGGCTTTTTTGGTAGAAGAAGCCCAGCAGGAACTCATTAGCATAGTAGGCCATACCCAACAGCAGGAACTCATTAGCCTATTAGGCCACACCCCTGACATCACAGATCATTTGCATATTAGGCCACACCCCCATGTTACCAGAAGTGTGGTCATCCAGCCACGCCCGCCTTTTGCTTCTTATTCTCTTTACCTTGTTTGTTGTCAAAACCCAGGGCTTTTTGCATGTTAGGCCACACACCCCTAATTGTAGCCAATCCGAATGATTTTCTGCTGTTGGGTGTGGCCTATTATGTTAATGGGTTCCTGCTGGGCGTGGCCAACTTGGAAGCCAGCCGGAACTCCGTTCCTGTGCGTTCCTGCCCAAAAATAGCCCTGGTCTCGGGGTATTTATTGTTTCCCCATTACATTGAGGTCACCCTGGTTTCGTCCCACACTTGTCCCAGGATAAACGGATGCTGTTATAACCAGGGATAAAGGCAAGGTATTGTGTCCCGAGTTGGACTCTGATGAAACCAGGGATGAGATCCAAGTGCGGAAAGGGCCCCTGTGACATCGCTGGTGGTGGCGGCGGCAGCTGGGACAGGTTCTGTTGTGGCACCAGCAGCGATGGCATTTCCTGCGGGCTCCCCGCCATCAAACCAGGCCACCTCCCCCTGGTTACCTCTCAAAATGAGTCATTGCTCCCTGGTGAGTGGGTCTCCAGTATTCTTAGGTCTCAGTCGGTGTAGGCCAGTCTGAGTTCGGGGGGGGGGGGGAACCACCCTCCAACATGTAGATATTTGACTATCAAAATTTGGCGCATGTATTGAAAAAGATTTGACAAAAATTATATCGAGGCACCCGGTGAATATGTTTTTTTCCTTTTCTTTGTCTGTCATTAAATGACTTCTTGTTGGGTGATAGTGAGATATTGAAAAAACGGTATTTAGCAGAGATAAGATAGTCCAGCAGAGCCAGAGTAAAATAATTCAGACTCAGAGTCCATGTGTGATTAAAATATAAAGTTTTTACTAAATTCTAGCATGGGAAGGGTAACTGGGATGAAAATAACAACAGAGCTAAATCGGCTACATCCTTACTCTACAAAGACAAAACTAGAAGAGAGAGATTATGGCTGCTCTTCTTGTTCTTCAGAACACCAAACAAAGACAGGAAGAGAAGCCTTAAAATGGTAATACACCTTGACACTTTAGTCCCAATCAAATTCCTAGATCAGAGAGAAAATTCCCGGGCTTTCTACAGCTAAAGAAAATTGGTTACATAAAAAACATGTGACTTCCTGTGAGTAACATAAACAAACATTTAACCCCAGATATACTGAGTGTTTTTAACTTGTAATACCCAACACTTCTTGTTCAAGGTTTGAAAACTGAAAGAACTGTGTGAGTAAATGTGTTACAGTCCCTCACCTTTTACAGCCGAAGTTCTCTTTGCTTTTCCAGAGTATACAGCACTGTATCCTTACACAAGTTCCGAACCTGGCGATTTAACTTTCATGGAAGGCGAAGAAATATTAGTTACTCAGAAAGATGGAGAATGGTGGACCGGAAGCATTGGCGAAAGAAGCGGCATCTTTCCTTCAAACTATGTCAAACCAAAGGATCAAGATGTAAGGTTTTCTGCCATCATGGGATGTTTTTTGGGGTGGGGGACGAGAAAAACACTGAAGTTCCGGTCCAGAGATTCTCCCATGTTGCATGCCAGGCGTTACAAAGGAACTCCCGTGTCTTTTGCCGCTGATAGTCCTTATCTTTGGGAGGGGGGGTGGTCAGTGCGCTCAAATGTGGAAGCATCTTAAAGGCTCACTGTGTGGACAGCTGCAAGGATTCCCCGGCAAAATTCACCCCTCCTAGGCAGTTAAGGTCAGCAAAGAAGGCTGGGGCAAGAACCGTCCCATGAGAATTTCAGAAAAGCCGTTTGAAACGTGAAAGCACGGTCGCCCCAGAAAGTAAGACCCAAAACAGGCTTTCCTTACACCAGAGCTGCATCTGAATGTCACCGAAACAGTGTGCGACTCTCGCACCAGAACAGTCTTTTGCAGCTGGATTTGCCAGTGTAAACCAAGCCAAGCCAGCTGCAAACAAATGCTCTGGTTTACGGTTCCCCGGCCTTTTGAGCCTGTGGCCACCTTTGGGGTTCTGATACAGGGTGGCGAGCCCAACGACAAAATGGCTGCCGGAGGCGGAACCAGCCACTAAATGTCAATGAGCATGGGTATGCACAACTGATTCTTTAACATTTCAGGCAGAAGCTCTGTTTAACAGGATGCCTTTTAATCTGCCCATGTAGTCAGAAGCCTTGCCGGACACAAGCTCGACCGAGCCCTCTCCACTTTCTAACAACACTTGGCAGGTGTCACGGCGCCCACGGGAGTCACATTGGGGACCCCTGCTGTAGCGTAGCGGCAGCAGGGTGTCCATCCCTCCCTCTGTGGCTGCAGTCCAGTTAAGTCACAGAATCAGAATCATAGAGTTGGAAGGGACCTCCAGGGTCATCTAGTCCAACCCCCTGCTCGGTGCAGGAAATTCACAAATACATCCCCCCCCCACATCCCCACTGACCCCTGCTCCATGTCCAGACGGTGGCAAAAAACCCTCCATGGTCCCTGGTGGCCTGGAGAGAAATTGCTTCCTGACCCCAAAGTGGCGATCAGCATTTCCCGGGGGGTGTAAGCAAGGGCCACGAGAACTAAGCCCTGATGCAGCCTTCCCTGCCCCCTCCCTCTCATGATCTGCCAAATTCACAGAATCAGCGTTGCTGTCAGACGGCCGTCTGCCCCCTGCTGCAGACGTGTCCTCACCAATGCTCCCTCTAAGCTGTGGAGTTCCTGTGAGCAAAAATTCTACCTTGTGAGCTACTGGCATTAAAGTTGTGAGCGGGGGATTTTGCTGCTGCATAAATCAGTTTGCTCTGGAGCCCTCCTTCCTGAGCTAAGACAAAAATGTGTTAGCCGGAGGAGGCTAAAAAACTGTGAGCTATAGGCTTGCCAAGCCCCCGCTGGGGGCGGGTAAATTCCCGCCCGGGAGGCCCGTTACCTGCCGCTGGTGGATCGGGCCCTGGGGGGGAACTCCACCCCCTGCCGGAGGGCGTCCCCAGCGTGATGATGTCACCCGGAGGTGACATCATCACACTGGCCACGTTGTGGGGGGACACTCTGTGAATCGAGGGAAACCCCTATGGTTTTCCCTCGAGTCACGGTACCCCCGTCCCCAATGTGGGCGATGCGATGACGTCACTTCTGGTGATGTCGTCGTGGTGCGTGTGCACGGGGAGACTCCCGACAGAGCCAGGAATCCCCTTGCTTTGAAGGTAAGTCGACTAGGCAACCCTAGTGAGCTAGCTCACGCTAACTCAGTTTAGAGGGAACACTGGTCCTCACGTGTGTTTAATTCAGTTTTCTGTCTTCTTTTGTCGTAGAGTGCTGCCACAGCGAGCAAATCGGGGACGTTAAATAGAAAGCCTGGTGCGTGCCGTCCGTTTTACAGCCGCTTACTTTATTCTAGTGGTCGGCTGTTGACGGGTCACTGAATGTGTCTCTCCTTTCAGAAATCGCTCAGGTGACCACGGCGTATACCGCCTCGGGGGCAGAGCAGCTCAGTTTGGCTCCCGGTCAGCTGATCCTCATTTTGAAGAAGAATTCCACTGGATGGTGGCAAGGAGAACTGCAGGTAAGAGAAGGGGGAGGCATTTCTACCCAGTGAACTATACTTGTGATAAATATAAGAAGAGTCTCAGAGCGGCTTACAAACCCCTTTCCCTCCCCCTCCCCACAACAGACACCCTGTGAGGTAGGTGGGGCTGAGAGAGCTCTGACAGAACTGTGGCTTGCCCAAGGTCATCCAGCAGCTGCGAGTGGAGGAGTGGGGAATCAAACCCGGTTCTCCCAGATTAGAGTCTGCGCTCTTAACCACTACACCAAAGTGGCTAAGCACACATGAAGCTGTCTTCTGCTGGGCCAGGAGTCCTTTAAAGTCAGCACTGTCTACTAAGACTGGCAGTGGCTCTCCAGGGTCTCAGGCAGGGGTGTTCATATCACCCACTGCCAGACCTTTTTACCTGGAGATTCGGGGGAATTGAATCTGGGAACGTCTGCATGCCTAGCCGGTGCTCTTCCACGGAGCCACGGCCCCTCCCCTGTCCCTCTTTTTAAACTAGCTGAGCGAAAACGTGACTCTTCCCTGCAGTGTGTGGCGTCTGTAGCAAAACATGTTTTTCCTCCGTAGGAACACACCGAACTCGGTTCGTCTACAATTCCTCCAATAATTACTGTGTTGTTATATAGTCAAGCCTCGTGGCCCCTCTTGTAGAGGCCAAGCTTTTAAGGCAGTAAATATTTTATCATTCTTTAAAAATATTTTCCAGTCTGGAAAGTCATCCCGTGTCCTCCTGACAGCGTCTACTAGCTGGCAGCGTATTCATCTTGTGTGTTGATCTCTTTAAAGCTAACTGCAGGCTGGAGGAATGAATCAGGGTTCCAGTGGCACCTCAAAGGCCAACTAAATCTGTCCCGGCGAAAACACTCATGAGTCAGAGCTCACTTCATTGGATGCAGGTTGGGAGGGATGCCGTGTCCTTAAAAAGACTGGGCTGTGCTAAAACTCCAAGCTGATCAGAAATGCTCCCCTGTTTACTCCCATTTGCCTTAACAGAAAATGTCTGAGTGGTCTAAATACTTCTTTTATCTAACGGTTCCAAAATAGCCTCGCTCTTTCCTGTTACTTAGATGCGATGCATTAGCTTCCACTGAGATGAAGTGCTGTTTTAGCAGACACACACACACACACACACCCGAGAAACGCTTCTGTACTTATTGTAAACATCAAGTTTGATGTTTGATGTTTGCATTCCCTGTTTGAACTGCTGCCTTCGGGCAGAAGATATAGGACAATTAAAGCAAGGACAAATAGATTAAAAAATAGTTTTTATTCGAGAGCTATTATTGCCTTAAATGCTGTATGAAATTGGAATTTGGGTGACATTGGTGGTTTTAAGTTGTTATGTGAACCATAAGGGAGTTATGGGACAGTAGTGAATGGTGTGTGAGTGTATATGAATATTGTTGTAGATCACCGAAATGATTGCATCTTTAATTCCGTTGTACTATGTACAATGACAATAAAGTATATTATTATTATTAAGTTGACTCGATTGCCCGTATCCTTTTTACTTGCCCCCGTTATATCTCACTTTGTAGCCAATATATTGCTCCCTGGACTGACTGCCTACAGAAAATTTCAGAACAACAGAAACTAAAGATCTTACTGTCAGGCAAGATTTAAAAAAAAGTGCACATGTGATGTAGCCGTATTTATCTATGCAGTTACAAATTACTTATAAAGTACTTCGACGTACCGCTTGTAGGCTGTTCAGTTACAGGGAAAGGAATGCCATGTGCTGGTGCACAGTCACATTGTAACCAGTGTTCCCTCTAAGCTGCGTTAGTGTGAGCTAGCTCACAGTTTTTTAGCCTCCGGCTCACACTTTTTTGTTTTGGCTCAGGAAGGGATGGCTCCAGAGCAAACTAATTTATGCGGGAGCCAGATTGCTCGCTCACAACTTTAATGCCAGTAGCTCACAAATTCAGCTGTCCTTGAAAAAGAGCAGTTTGTGTTAGAGTTCTCTCAGCCCCACCCACCTCACAGGGTGTCTGTTGTGGGGAGGGGAAGGGAATGGAGTTTGTAAGACGCTCTGAGACTCGAAGTGAAGGGCGGGGTATAAATCCAGTCTCTTCTTCTTCTTCTTCTAAAATCGAGTTCAACCTTATTTTTATTCTGGGTTCCCCCCCCCCATTCTGCATTACATCCCCTCCCTTCAGTGGTCAGCCCGGTTGCAGCCCACTGCTGCCCCTGGTTATTTGGATACTGTTTTGCCCTCGACTCGAACACTGAGAAAAATCTGGAGCGGCAGGCAAATGCGGAACGGAGCTGTATTTTCATGGATGCCGAATAATGCACTTTCAATCCACTTTCAGCTCATTTTGCAGCTGGACATTTAATGTGTGAAACAGCAAAATCCATTTTCAAACGCTTGCTAAAATATGTCGAAAGTGGATTAGTCGGTGTATGCAAAAACACCCGGCATGTCATACACAAAATCTTTTCCCAGTTATATAGTTTTAAGGATTTCAGCAGTGTCTGACTTCAGGTTAATCTTAAAAGCTTAGAGTTTCCGAGAGTTTGACTCTATGCTGCTTTTTGTGTGTTTCAGGGTAGAGAGTCTAAAGCAGGGGTGTCAAACTCATTTGTTATGTGGGCCGGATCTGACATAAATGAGACCTTGTCAGGCCGGGCCACGTGTGTCATAGAATGTAATGCCAGGTAGCAGAGATACAAACTTTATAAAGGACAGAAACACAAAGGGTTTTTTTTACTTATAATAAAAACATGCTTAAAACATTAGCACTTTTTAAATATTTCATTTATTTAGCAGTGTCTGATAACTGACACCTCTTGCTCTGAATTATTGGATCAAAATGTCTGTGCTGTTGCCATCTTGAGTATGCTGTTCAGGTGTGTATCTGTAAGCTGCAAACCTACAATGACGCAGCAGCAGCAGAACTGGAAGAAGCAGCAGAAGACAGCCAGTTCCACTGTGGGCCTGAGAGAAGCCCTCTGGGGGCCTGATGCAGCCCCCAGGCTGCATGTTTGACACCCCTGATCTAAAGTGTTGGTGTGTGTTTGTTTTTTGTTTGGAGGGGCAGTTGTAGGGGTTTTGTGTGTTTCTGTGTTTTTTGGTGTGTTTGGGGGAGGGTTGGTTTTGTTTGTTTTGGTTTTTTGCAAGTCATCTAGGTGTGCAAAATGTTGGGTTGTTTCTTTGTTTACTGAGCTGGGATGGGATTGTTCGTTGTATGGCTGTTGATGAGAGCTGAAAATTCCTTCTGCAGGCAAGAGGAAAGAAGCGGCAGAAAGGATGGTTTCCAGCTACCCACGTGAAACTCTTAGGTCCAAGCAGTGAAAGGACCACCCCGGCTGCTGTCTCAAGTGCGTGGCTATATCTTATTTGCAATTTGCTGAGTCTTCATACAAAACTATACATGATTTTGCATTCCTAAACATGCATTTTTTTAGAAAGCATGTAATTCTGTCCTATAAAAAGTACATTAAGTATATTTACAGCCTGAGTAGTCATTGGCATCCTTAAAAAATTGTATTTTATTATGTTTGTTAATTAAAATGAGTCATAGCTCAGTTTGTTCTTGAGATGTAAATGCCGGGGATTGAACCCAGGACCTTCTGTGTGTAAACCAGGTACTCTGCCACTGAGCTGTGAGCCTCCCCTGCTGTCTTCCTGTGTTATAGATGCCTATAAAACAACAGGCAGACAATCCCTTGATTGCTCTCAATTGCTGCTTCCTTCATCAGCTGAAGAGACCACTCAATCATAGCACAGGGGTGGATGGAAACAGCTAATTAATCACTAGGAATCTATATGCTAATATCGAAGTCGCCCCCTGGTGTGTGAATAGCTAAATCTGCGCACCGGGGGGGGAGGGAGAGTTTTGTGCACACGTGGGGCGGTCCCCAGGTGTGCACAAAAATCTAAAAAGTTTTTAAAAATATCGGGGGATACTTAAATCCCGCCTCGGAGGGGGGGAGGCGGCGAGGCCCGGCGGCTACAAGCTGCGCGGGCTTCGCTTTGGAGCGAGCGAGCGGGGAGGGGAGCCGACAAGGCCTGGCGGCCACAAGCCACACAGGCCTCGCTTTGGAGCGAGTGAGCGCGGGGAGGCCCGGCGGCGATAAGCCGCACGGGCCTCGCGTTGGAGCGAGCGGGGGGAGGCCTCGCGTTGGAGCGAGCGGGGGGAAGAGCAGCGAGGCCGCTTTGGAGCCGGGGGGGTTCGGAGCAGGGGGGAGGAGGCAGGGGGGTGGAGGAGACGGAAGAACTGGCAGGATGGGGGGAGTGGAGAGCTTACCTGCTCCTGCTGGTTCCTCCGCCTTCTCAGTTTAGAGCTCCCCCGCCCCGCCCCCCCGCGGGTTTCGCGGGTCTTCTTTCTTGTAAAGTTCTATTTTCTCACTCAGGAAGGCCTTAGAATGCCAAAACACTGCGTAGGATATTTGGTGCTGCTATGAAATAATTCTGCTATTCTCATGCATTTCTTTTTTTTCTTCTTCTCCTGCTCCTAGTGTGTCAAGTGATAGCTATGTACGACTACACGGCAAACAACGAAGATGAGCTCAGTTTCTCCAAGGGGCAGCTTATTAACGTGCTGAACAAAGACGACACTGACTGGTGGCAAGGGGAGATCAACGGCATGTCCGGCCTCTTCCCTTCCAACTACGTGAAGATGACCACAGACTCGGATCCAAGTCAGCAATGTAAGCGACATTTAACAAATGTTGGACCTCTCAAGTTCGTTAGACTCTGCCTGGTCCTGCCCAGGGTTTCCAGGCCTCCTGCTACCGCAAGGCTTCCTGCCGATGGTCACCGTTGCCCCAGTGCCCACTGCTCTGAGCAGCAGTGAGAGAAAAATGAAATAAAACTGCTGCTGGCCTCTGTGCTGCTACGTCTCTTCCGGGTAGCTCTAGGAATTCCTAGAGGTACCCGGAAGAGACATACCAAGTGACATATAGTTTTAACATACAGTTTCCTAGAGCTACCCATTTTCTCTTCCATTGCCCAACATCCACTGCTCTGAGCAACAGCGAGAGAAAAATTCCTAGAGCTACCCATTTTCTCATCCATTGCCCAGTGCCCACTGCTCTGAGCAGCAGCGAGAGAGAAATGAAATAAAACCGCTGCTGGCCTCTGTGCTGGCACGTCTCTTGCGGGTAGCTCTAGGAATTGCCTGAAACGCTGTGGTTTTACCATAGAGTTTCAAGCAATTCCTAGAGCTACCCAGAAGAGACATACCAAGTGACATATAGTTTTTTACATACAGTTTCCAACAGTTCCTAGAGCTACCCATTTTCTCTTCCGGGTTGTACCCAGAAGTGATGTAGTGATGTCACCACAGTCACACACCCCTGCCCCCATCCCTCCCACTGGTTGCTCAGCCAGGCACCCCTAGTCCCATCTGTTGCTTGGGTTTTTGTTATCCTATGTGTTCTGAGCAATGTTCGCCTGTGTTGTTGTTTATTTAAAGCCCCCCAAATGGTGATCCTCTGCATGTTCCTTAAATAGTGTACATTTCTCTTGAAGGGCATTCCGGGGGGGGGGAAGGGGGACACAGCAGTTTTTGCAAAATTTGCTACACCTCAACAGTGTGGACCGCTAAACTAGATTTGACAGAGGAGATCTGTGGTTCTCTGTTTTCTCTGTTATGGTTTTTATTCATAAATGTACGTAATTGCTATGAAAATCAAGAAAGTGGGGGTTGAGGGGGGCAGTCTTTTTCTTTCCGTGTCATTTTGTGAGGTAAATTGTTCTTGTCACTCACTCAGATCTAAGCCCGGATGCAGCAGTTAGCTCTGTGAGGAGGGCGGGAATGTATTTTTAAGTGCGTTAACCTTTTGACGCTACCTTTGTTAAAAACAACTGGCAGAAGCCCACAAACTCCCTTAAAATAAAGAAACGCACTATCGAGCTTCTGTTTTTCACTCAGTGAAAAGAAAGACCATTGGGAAGGGGTTATCTTCTGCGTTCCTAGCTTCCCAAGAGAGGGCTTTAAGAAGTTAGGTTATCGGGAATCACACACACTGCCCCACACCCCTACTGCCAACAGAAATTCCTGCCTTGTATGACAGCAGAGGGATTGTGCCTAGGAGGCTGTGCAGTTCCCCCCCCCTCCTTTTTCCCTCTGGAGACCGCTGTAAAAGACCCACATTGTCTTTTAAACGGCGTCATAGGATGGACCCGACCTCTTCATCAGAAATTGCTGTTTTGCATAGAATTCAGGGGGTGGGGTCTGTTCCCTGTGGGGCTGGGAATGTTTCTCCTTCACCAGTTTCGTGTAGTGGTTAGGAGCATGTAGTGGTTAGGAGTGCAGACTCTAAACTGGGAGAACCGGGTTTGATTCCCCACTCCTCCACCTGCAGCTGTTGGTGTGACCTTGGGTCAGTCACAAGTTCTTTCAGAGCTGTTCTCTCGAGAGCAGTTCTCTCAGAGCTCTCTCAGCCCCACCTACCTCACAGGGTGTCTATCGTGGGGAGGGAACAGGAAGGTGGTTGTAAGCTGCTCTGAGACTCCTTTGGGTAGTGAAGGGTGGGATATAAATCCAATCTCCTCCTCCTCCTCTTCTTATTCATCGTCTTCTCCTCCTCCTCTCACGGTTTAAATGCCCCCCTCCCCAAATTCTGGTATTGTACTCCTTTGGTACACCCCTCAAGTAGTACAGAGTGCCATTGGAGGTAATTTTTCAAAATGGCCACCTTCGTTTCCTACCTGTAAGCGGTCTTCCATGAGTTACCCAAGATGGTAATTCTCCCAATTCAGGCCAATAGCTGTATCAAAAATTGTACCTAAAGTGATAGTTTTAGGCAGGGGTCATTTCGTAGAAAAAGAGCTAGGGGAACTCATTAGCATAACTCATTAGCATATGCCACACCCCCTGACATCACCGGAAGTGTGTCCTCCCCACAGCCGGCGGCGACCTCCAGCGGGCACCAGCAGGGAGCTCCAGGCCCCGCCCTCCCGCACCTCACCCGGGGGGATGGCGTCCCCCCGCATCCCCCCCCCAAATGACCCCTGACCACATTGGTCCACAGTAGAAGAGCTGGGTTCGAGTCCAGTAGCACCTTAGAGACTTAACAAGATTTCCATGGTATTATTATTAGTACATTCAACTTATATAGCGCTCCATCCCGAGGGCTCGGAGCGGTTTACAGAGGGACATTTAACAACCTAACTAGGGCCACATAGTACAGGGGAGAAGTGAATGCCTACCAGGCACCCGAGCAGGGTGTGTTCACTTGATGTTACTTTTTTTCCCAACTCTTTTTCACGGTGGGTTCTTTCCTACTTCGAGGGTATGAGCTTTTGGGGGTCAAAGCTCCCTTCATAAGATCGAAATAGGAATGGAGATCCCTGAGTCTCTTATAGCCTTGTCTGAAGGTAGGAGGGGTGTTGGGATACGAGGACTCCGGGATCTCCATTCCCGCTTGGATCTGACGAAGGGAGCTTTGCCTCTTGAAAGCCCATACCCTGCAAATCTTGTTGGTCTCTGAGGTGCAACGGCAGTAGCCAAATCGCTCGCTCACAACTTTAATGCCAGTAGCTCACAAAGTTGAATTTCTGCTCACAAGACTCCACAGCTTAGAGGGAGGATTCCCTGTGAGTGTGGGGAGTGACGGGAGGTACCTGAAGGGGGGGGGGAGCTCCCAGGTAATAAATGCAGGCCTCGGGCCTTTCCCAGACTCTGATAAAGCCCATTTTCAGTTTACCTCATGACGTTTATGACTCCTGTCAGTGACTGCCTGCTGGCTGACAATTGTAGATCCAGCCTTCCGTGGAATTCACAGAGTTCAACTTTCTCACTTCCCCCGACTGCTGTAGCCCTAATGAACCAGCTAATTTTTCCCCCCCTGCTGGTCAGCAGACTCTCACAAATAGCACAGAGAGCAAAGTGGGGATGTGTGGGGGATGGAGACGGGAATCGGCAGAAATTTCTGCCACCACGGCTGCCGCAAATGAAAATGCAGTTCTGCCAGAGGAACTGTGTGGGTGGATAAATGCTAGTACATTTGAGAGAAAATGAAGTTGTTTCCCAGGCTTCTAGTACAAGTTATTCCAGCAGATGGTGAAGGGCAAGGCATGGATGACCTCCCTTCCAAGAAAGAGGTCGAAGGTGCGTTTTGTATGGCTTATGCAGATTGCTGCTGAGAGAGAGAATGGCCTGTGCATTCTCTCCTGCTCAGTCCTAGCGGATCTTCCATTTCCAAGGTTTTTTAGTGAGAAAATTAATAAATAGGTACTGATATTCAGTTGATCTTCCCCGTGTCGGCCCGTTTTCCTACTGACCATCGCAATCAAGTTGTTTGTTTATAACAAACACCCAACATGGGTGTTTCTACCCATTCATCATCTCCCTCCACCGGAAATCTTGTTTTGTTCCCCTGATGTTGCGGAGTCCTTCTGAAGCCCAAAGAGACAGATACCCTCTTTCTTTCTGATTCAAGTCCAGTAGCACCTGAGAGACCAACAGGATTTGGGGAGTATATAGTGGTTAAGTGCATGGAATCTAATCTGGGAGAACTGGGTTTGATTCCCCACTCCTCCACATGCAGCCAGCTGGGTGACCTTGGGTCAGTCACACGTTCTCTCAGAGCTGTTCTGGAAAGAGCCGTTCTCGAAAGAGCTCTCTCAGCCCCACCTACCTCACAGGGTGTCTGTTGTGGGAAGAGGAAGGGAGAGGAGATTGTAAGACACCTACCAAGGGAAGGGTAGGGTATAGATCCAATCTCTTCTTTTTCTTCTTAAGTTTTCAAGAGCCAAAGCTTGCTTCGTCTGCTCTCTGTTCCTTTCTATTCAACTCCAGCACAGTCACTAGTTTATACTTTAGGATGGCTTGGCGAACATTTGATAGTCCTGTGGGGTCTTGTTAGTCCATCCAAAGAGCTAGACACGGGACAGCGAAGACACCATTTTCAGGTTGACACCTTATTCACTTTTATCCTTATCTGCTGTTAGGCAGACGCTTGACGTCTCTTTAGGGCGGCTTCATACACTTCTCTCTCTTTTTCTCGGCACAGAAGTAATTTTTTGTGTAGGAAAATCTCCTCCACTGTCCTACGCAAAGTGTCATGTGTGTTTCTTTTTGTTCTGAGTTTGAGGTTGGCCAGTATTCGAGATCCTGCCATTTGAAGACCATTCAATAACCGCGTACCTTCCCGGTCTGGAATTAGCAGTTTTGTTAGGCTTGGGAGAAGTTGGCCCTCCAGTTAACTTCAAAGAAGAGAGCCCTGAACTAGGTGCAAGCTATGCTTTGTGCATTGTTGTCCCTCAAGGCTGTTGTGTTGCTGTTGTGTTGCACCTGTGCTCTCCCTTCATTGTCCCTTGAAAGAGGGTGGTGGGTGGTGACACTCTTGTAATACAAAAGCGATCACACAGTATAGTATATAACAACCAAAAAAAAAGCGCTGTACAAATAACGCAATCAAAGGCACTATACTGAAAAGGAACAAAGAATATTTATATAACACAAATGTGTACAAACAGATACAATATAGTGTATACATATGACCTACAAAAAAAGCCAGGACACAGGACGAAGACTCCGGATTCCAATCTTCGTTTCGTTGATACTTCTTCAGTTGTACCATACAGCTTCATCTAGTGCTCAATATACAGAAACCTTCATGTTCTTATGCAGGGGAAAATAGCCACAATTCACATCAAACTAGTTTTAAGCAGGGCAACCAATCATCAGTAGAAGAACATT